CCTGATCTGACAGACCGCGTGTGGTTTGAAAAGACTTCAACGGAGAAACATCCTAATTGTCAGAACCAAGCAATAAAACATAAGAAAACTGGCTGGATGTTGACAGCAGAGCCAGTCATGTACTGTGAAAGTCTGTCCCACTCACTGACTGACTGACACTGTGGCTTCAAAAGCGATGTTTGGATCATTGAATGAAAGGCTGCGGCTCATTCCAACAGATCGTTTTCACAGTGCAAGCTTCTCCCATTTGGTCAAACAACAACCAGAAACCAGAAAGTGGTGAAAAATGTTGAGGAAAAAAAATTTAAAATAAAAAAAAAATTATGCAATTGACTGCCTTCAGAGGTCACCTCATTAGTGGAAAGAGTTTTCTTTAGCTGTTTTGTGAAGACTTCAGAGGTTTTATAGAAAACACCAAAGTCAAACTGCTGCATTAAGGCCGACAAACGCAGCAGACGGTCCTGCAGAAGTTTTAAAGCAAAGGTCGATTATATAACCGTATTCCAAACTTTGAACATCTAACACAGCAATGTTCAATTCATCAACTAAAAGTTTTGAGCATAGGCACCACTGCAAACCTCCAAAGACTTGGTGATTCATCCAGGCTGAAAAGGCTAGATAGGGTTAGCATTGTTCACAGAAGCAGCCATTTCAGCAGAGATGCATGTGAAAGAGCTTAATACAGAATAAGCTGAGCATTCAGTCAGCTGAGGACTTCACAAATTTGGTCTTTATGGAAGAGTTATAAGAGGGTATTAGATATTGAAGAGGGAAAAATCAAACAAATTCCCATTTACAGTTTGTGACGTGGCACAAAGGTGATACAGGAAGCACCTGGACGAAGGTGATGAGATACAAATGTAACTTTGAGACGCAGACTCATGACTATGCGGTGAAAAACTTACAATGCATCATGGTATGGGGATACTTTAGCTTAACAAGAACGGGGAAGCTGGTCAGAGTTGCTGGGGAGATGGAGGGAGATGAACATGGTTTTGGGCAAACCTAGAGGAAGAACCCATTGAAAAGGCTTGAAACTGGGATGGACTTTCACCTTCTAGCAGGAAAACAGCCAAACATAAACATTGGGAGCCAAAGAGAAAGGATTCAGGTCAAAATCAACTCCTAGAATAATCCAAGGTCTAAACCTAAATCCAAATGAGAATCCATGCCGATACTTGAAAGTTGATGTTCCCAGACGGTCGCCATCCAATCTGATTGAGCCGTTTCTAAAAGAGCTGGCACCACTATTTGTCTGAACGTGCAAAGCTTCAGCTAACATCCAAGCCACTTCCAACTGCAACACTTTGAACATTGCAAACCATTTAGTGCTTTAAATGGCAGGTGTGCGTGTCTTACATGGTTCTGAGGAGGAGCCAAAATGTTAGCAACGCACTGAGGTGGAACACGCCTCTCAGTCAGCAGCACTACAGTGGGGCATTATGGGTGTGTAAGTGAGAGGTGACGTGTCATACGCTCTACCCTGAAAGACAATGTTTTCTGTCAGCTTATTCTGCTTTTTTTTCCCCCCTCAACGCGGCCAGGCGAACGAGAGCAGACGAAGCGAGTCTATTCAGAAAGAAATCACCGAAGGAACATTTAAATAAAAAGCAAAGGCAACACTGATCGCATGGAAGCAGCCCATCCTCCGTCGTTTTCATTACTTTTCTTTTTTTTTTTAATCACGGAAAATAGTCGAAGCGCTTGGAAATGCCACCCAGGCTATTGTATTTTCTCATAGCGTTGGTCGTATCATATTTACAGCGCCTCGGCCGGCGCACTTGTGCTTTGTCTGCGCTTGGAAACAGGAGCTGTCGCTCTATGGAAGACAAAAAAAATGCAATAAGAGTGACAAATTTATCAAACAAATACTAACGCGCCCCACTATGCCAGAGGAGTTTCACAAACGCTGATGTCATTACAGATTAACTGGATTTAGACGGAGTCGACTCTCCTCCAGTTCACCGTGTAGCGCAGTGCTTAATTAGTTTTGGGGGGAAAGAGAGTGGATTCATTTGGTCATGTCTGGCAATTTAGAGGCAAAGACGTTGAGAAGATGAGCTTTTGAGTGAAAATGATACGATCCCATTTGTACTAGTTGTAAAGATGGATGCAACCTGACAAACAAACAAACAAAAAAAAGATCAGGGCCTTTCAGGGGGAACAGACCCAAAAATATGATGACGATTAACACAAAAAAAATAAATACAAAACTGAAAAGTGTGGCACCTGTTTAAGTTCAGTCTGCTTGAGTCAATATTTTGTAAATATTGTCTCAGGCAGACTGAACTCAGACATTGTTTTGATCCAATACCAGCAGCAAGGGTTCTGTGCTGTGTCTACAAGATTTGCAGTGTTTGCCTAATATTCTGCAGCTCTGCACTTTGACTGAGCCATTCAATCCCACTGTCTGGACCTGAAGAGCCAGTTTGATGAAAAGACATCCGAATAAGAATTTTGGAAAACAGACGACATCCCACATTCTTAAGAGATGGGGTTATTTAGACCCCACAAGATTTTTACTATATTGTGCGCAGTCTGACCCCAAGTGCACTTAAGTGTGTCGTTTTGGGAATTGATGGTCTAACGGACAACACCTCTGCTTCTCTGCTGTCTGACTGACATTTGCCACAGAAGGGTTAAAGAACCAATGTTTTATTCCCACTTGTATCATTTAAAATACAGATGACCATAAAAGAGGGTGTATTTCTTTTGATAAACACATAATTTCCAGCCCGATGGCAAAGAAAACAGATTTAAAAACAGGTGGTAGGGCATTCATTGTTAAAACTCATAGCAAATGTTGCATGGGAGACAAATTAAAAATGGTTGAAAACTTGTTATTATATCTGTATTTAAAAACATAAACTGGTTCCTTCTGATTTTTAAAGTTGTCAAGAGACGAAGTGGAAGGTCTTGAGGGCCTCTTTCGGCTCTGGGGCCCCTTGTCGCCCCGGAGCAACCTGTGCTTCACTTTAGATTTGGCTGTTTAGGGACAATAACTGAACGAAGGTCTAACACTTCCGATTCTTCAAGTGCTTCTAATAGATTTTCTTTCAAGACTACTCGGCATCTCTCATCAACTATTTCCAGTTTCCCTTTCACTTTAAGAAATAGGGATGGAGAATTTTGTGGTCAAAATGTGAAAAAATTCAAAAGGTGTGACTTAAGTTTGTGAGCTGCTGTTGTTCGATTCATTCATTCTTCAAAAAAGGAAGAAACGAAGACGCAGGACGGTCTGTCGCTCACTAAACAATACCCCGATTCTAATCGAGTTAGCAAGACAGAAGCTTCAACTCCATCTGGGCGATGAAGAAGAAGAAGAAAATGTTTCTTTCTGGACTCTCTCTCTCATCCCGTGTTGCTGCTGTTTTAAATTAAAGCTCTGAATGCAACCCCTGTCAAAACACCAATGAGCTAAACACACGCCGCGGCTAATTAGATTGCTGAATGAGTCGGATTTCAGCCCATCTTTCTGCTCTTTGTTGGTTCACTAAACATGAAAATTACAATTCCTATAGAAGCGGCCGCGTAATTAGCTGGAGACGGACAGGATCCCCGCTCACTTAGCAGAATGAAAGAAGACAAAAGATGACGGGGCTGCGCGCATCTATTTGTAATTCGGAGTACAGTGGTAGGGGTTAGGCGGGAATCGAGACTGGATGCTGTAATCTCTTCACACTGTCCTGAGTGGCAAGTGGCAGGCTAAGTGTGTTAGCACCGGCGCGCCAAGGTGGGGGAGTTGATGCAGTCTGGGTTCGGCTCAGAGGAGCGATGAGGGTCCAGGATAATTCAGCAGCGAAAAGTTTGACAGCCTCTTATTCGTACCGCACAATTTTCTCCCCCGATCACAAAGAACGAGGCTCTAAACAAAAAGATAAAGAAAAAAAAAACCCAAAAAACAATTATGACAGCTGCGTAGCATTTTTTTGCTTTTTTTTCAGCTTTTTTATTTTTCTCAGCCCCAATTTCTGTGTTTGATGGTTGATAAAACGCCACAGAAAAAAGAACCGTTGTCATCTTAAAAGTTTAACACAAGTTATAATCTTGTACTTTAATGTAAGACAGATCCGTCATGGAAATATTTTAAAGTGACTAAATTAAATTACATCTCTCTCTGCATTTTCTCTGCACGTTGCACGATTCCGTCACTTCCTAAATATGAAATCTGGCAGTGATGTTGTGACTGGTGGCACAGCTCATTTTTCTAAATGAACGATCAGTCGTTCTCAGCTTCCCATCTACTTCCAGAGCATTTCATTTATCTGACAACTCTCAAGACGTCAGAGATGATAGCAGCGCATTCTGTTAGCGTGAGGTCAGCTGAAGTAAACACAATGTGATAATGAAAGTCATTTGTTTTGCAAAGACTTTTTTTCTGCATAAAACGCATCAAATTAAAAAATAATCATTTTTTTAAAAAGTCTTGGAAATTTGTCTGAAAATTTTTTTTCAAAGACAAATAAGCTGGTGCGCTGGCTGTCTAGTACAAACATTATCCTACACATACACTTATTATTTATTTTTCTTTTACCAGGGAATTGAGGGATAAAAAGATGAACTCTGGATTTTTTTTAAAAAACTGAAATAATTTCCATTCTGAAGCTTTTTAAGGGTTACGGTAACACTAACCTAATGGAAAACACGAGTGGTTCCTACGTTCATTTTGTGAAGAGGACAGGAACGGCAAGTAGAATGGCAAAAATAAAAACACCTGCATTGAAACGTGAAACAGGTGAACCACATGCTGCAGCGTCACAACCACGCAGCTAAGTAAGCGCGTGCGAACGCAAGGGAACAAACAGGATGTGACACGCCGTCGCCTGACTTCAAAACAAAAGAAAAAAAAACAGTTTTTTTGTTTTTTTGGAAGTGTTGATTCCCAGCTCCGACGTGACCGAAAAAGCCAGTCACCTGCAAGACCGCAGCCGGCAAAACGCACAGGTAAACACACAGGAGAGGACGCGGCAGGTGTCAGAACAGCGGCACGACACACACACCTGATGCTAGTCATGCTTCCGGTCTCAGAGCCGAGCTTGCATCTCTCCAGCTGACTGGCAACAATCTGTCGTTCGGCTTCCAGCTCCCGGGTCAGACGTTCAAACTGCAGCTCCTGGAGACAGACAGAGGAGGAAGACAAAATGTGTCAAAAACAGTGACTATGTGTATTTACTGTTACATTTACAACCACCTCGGGCCTCATCGGTTCTGCGGCACATTTTTAATTGTCGCGAAACGTCAAGAGACGCAAAAAAACGAAATAAATAAATGAAAAAACAAAGCTGGGACAACAGGAGAAGAAGAAGAAGAAGAAGAAGACGGAGGGCTTCAGGAGGACAAATGTGTGACTTGAAGTGACAGATTCAGGTGAAAAGAAAAAAGAAATCAATACAATTACACTGTATGGATTCTTGCTTGGTACTGTGGGCTGGCTGACGTTTCTGCAGTAATTGAGAAGGCTGTCGGTCCTGTCTTCACACGTAATGACTTGATCAGTGGGCGCAGCGCAGCAAACAGTGGAGTGCATGTGACCCTGATGTGATCTGAATGAAGAGGATCATTTTATATCTGAGAACCACAGCAAACAATCATAAGTTAAACAAACAACAAAAAAAATGGAATTGGACAAGAATTTGATTCGATGCTGAGGATGTTTGGGGGTTTTTTATGTCGCACCAAAATCCAGGAGAACATCGGCACACGATTTCTAAAACTTCTAAACTGAGGCTTTGTTTACATGATTATGATCCAACGAAAATGGCGTCCGCCCCCTCTTTCTATTGACACAATCACCTGAAGAAAACCTAATTGCAATCTTTGTTTACACAGTAACGGTATGCATCGAAAAGGTGCAATGCCCTCACCACGCCTCCAGTCGGTGCGAGGTTCTACGAAAATAAAAACGGGAGGCCGCGTTCAGTATAGGAAATAGCGCCCCCTTCACTTCCGGAGTGCAACTGTCCCATTTCCAAATGAGGTATGAGACTGACAATGGTTTGTCCCCGCCCCTTTCTATTTGCTGCAGCGAGGTGTCGTTGGAATCGTTGTCACACCGGCATCATCGTTGGCTGCTTCTTCTGCAGATTGTAGGAAGCTTTGTGTTCTGCGTCCCTAACTCGAGGGTTTCCCTGACACCGGTACGTTTCAGAACCGCTGCACTCCGGGACTGGTTCTCAAACTATGCTGTTGTCAGAGAGAACATTAGCTTTTTTTTCTTTTTGGTTTTTGTAGCCAGGTCTACAAATCTGGAATGTATCAGAAAGTGGCAAGAAGAAAAAAAAATCCAAAAGGGAAAAAAAAAAAAGTTGTCTAGTCAAAACACAGAACTAAATCCAAATCTGAATATGTGGAAAGCCTTCAGCACTGCTGCGAAAAAAAAAAAGAAAAAAAATTCTAGTTGAATAACTTTGTGGCTTTTATACCAACATTAGGACATGTTAAATTTAGAAGGTAAACATAAAAACTAAGCCAAATTGTTTCTCCAAAATTGAGTTGCTCTTGCATGAACCCCAGCTTCCCCCCCACCCCACTTAATTAAAAGTGTGACAAATAACCACTAATTACCTGATGCACACAAACAAACCGGCATCCAATTAGAGTGTTTGCGCCTGCGGCTGCAAGATCCTTATCGCTGATTACACGTAACGGATTTGATCTATTTGGGCCAAATATCTAAATAAATAAAGGCTGAAAAGAGGCAAACAGCAGCAACATCAAATTGTCTTGGGGATGTTTTAAATTGAGCAGAAAATAAGCAGAGTTTTTGGGTTGGGGTTGCTTTTTTTTTTTTTTTTTCGTTCCGGCCTACTGCTGCTTTCTGGTGACTGGTTTGTGTTATTTTTTTTTTTTTCAGGACGATTTTTCTGGTTGGTTTACCAAACAAATGTAATCTAATCAACGAAAGAAAACAGCGATGAGTCGTTGCGGGAACAGGTGTGCTTAGTTGATGGGAAAACAACATAACTGAAAAATATCAAACTACAAACTGAATTATCTCGTGAAAAGTCAAAAAGCGAGTGAGAAAACTCCTGCAGCAAACATTTTGTCAGTATCAACCCTTGTAAAGCTTGAACTTTGCCACACACGAAAAACATACAAAATCAACCTACAGTCTAAAAAATAATAATAAAAATAAAAAATGAAGCCCAGATGGGGTTTTTCATGCTTGACATGAGGCTGACCTAATCTGCCAAAGTAGACAGTCCAAAAATGTACGACCGGGAAGTTGGAGGGGTTTGTGTTTATGTGCTCAAATACGAAGGGAGTGAAAATGATAACCAGGGTGAACGTCCAAAAGAGCTGATAATTTCTGTGTGATATGTCATTCTGGCAAGATTCATACAATTGCAAATCCTTCAAAACTTTTCCACATCATTTGGCGTCATAAACTCGAATGCGTTTCATTTGACAGTGGACACAGAGTGGTACATCATTGTACCACTCTGTGGAAGGAAAGAAAAGAAATGACGTCTTCTGACATAAATCTCAGAGGTTCTCATTAACTCAAGTGGGAGAGTGTTTTAGAAAGGACAGAAAAAAGGAGTAGTAAGTAGAACGCAATCGCAGAGAGAAGAAAGCGTCCTCAGACGTCCTATTAGGAAACACAGCAAACGTGTCAGAAAAGACCAAAATGTCAACCTTTCCAAATGTGCTGAGCTAAGCTGCTAACACCCAGAGCCTCCCGAAAACAGCGTCACGCCGCTGAAACGTGGAGGAAGCGGCACGATGGACGGGAAAACGGACGGAGCGAAACAAGGCTGGAGAATTGGTGGCAAAAGTTGAAAATTGCAGCTCGTGAAGAAAAGTCAACCCCGACGGGAGCGAAGCTAAACCGGACACAGTTTTCAATCCTATTTGTGGCATTGGAACAAATAAAAGAACCCCATGGCAAAACAAAGGGAACACGAACGAAGACGCTCAGATGTGGTTGCAAAAGTCTTGAATTGACCTCAACTCAAGATTTAAGGGAGATTAGCTCTTATTGCATCACTAGTTTACTGTTTCTGCTTGCAACTGCTGATGGACTGCACTGTAAAAGCACTGACTCTTTACCAAGTGATTCTTTTTGTAGGTTTTAGCGCAAACAACTTACTACAAGTAAATTTTTCTGTAAGCTATATGGGCTTTTATTTTTAAATCAATAACTCTTGAGTATTGACAATCAGTAGATTTCTTTTTCCACTTTTAACACTTGGGAACACGCCTGGATTTTGTAAAAATATTTTTTTAACTTGTTTTGAGGAGGCCATGTTTTTTCGCTGTGAAGCCTGAACTTGAATCACGCTTCGGGGTTCCCTTCTTTTGGGAAACCGTTTTATTCTAAAAGCCTCCTTCCACGGCTATTACGCGGCGTATTCCCCTCGTTTTTACGTGCAGGCTGAGCAATCGCGGGCAGGCACGACTCTCACATAGAATTTGATCCACAAATGCACCCGTGTGGCCTCTGAAGAGCAGATAAAATGACACGACTGCCGCTTTGTCAGGTGGTGAGTATTCAAGCTATCTTGAAAGGGGGGACGAACTGCAATAGATGAAAAGAAAGGACAAAAAAACAAAAACAAATCTGCCAATCGATGAACTGTGAGGAACCAGCAGGACGGAAGACGCGAGCCGTGTTCGCGCAACTGCGGGAAAAGACGTTTTATTGTCCTCGAAACATTCCGCTGCCGTCGAGCGTCTGAAGTGCGTGTTTGTTGCAACCGAAAAGCCTCTAAGAGGAGCACAGTTGCGTGTCGACATCACCAAAAATCCTCGCAATCTTCTGTGAGAAGAAAAGCCAGCCGCTGGTAGCAGAGGTACTCTCATTTGCATCTTAAACACCACAGCTTGAAAGGGGGGGGGAAGAAAAAGAAAAAACAAACACAGTTACGCTTCCAATGTTGCGAGATCTGGCTTTTCACGCTTTCAAATCAATCTAAGCTCCCTAATCGACTGATGTTAAGCCCAAGAAGAAGAAGGGGGAAAAAAGAAGCCTACTTTCAGGGCAGCATCTATTTAAGAAAGTTTTCCCCCCTCTTTTTCTCTTTTTTTCTTCTTCTGTTAAACCAGCTTATTTTGCTGAGAGCAAATACTGACACCAACTCAAACACAATCCTTTAAAAACGAAAAGAAAAGCCACAATGCCATGGATAGCTCCCTCTTTTTTTTTTTTTTTCCCTCCATGCCGCTCTGATCTCTGCTTCAGAGCTGACGGCCAGACACCTGTTACTGCGGGAGAAGGAGCCAGGACCTCATATGCAATCTCTTGTTCTTCCAAAATTAAAACAAAACAAAAAAGACACACACACAAAAAAAAACCAAAAAGCAAAACCTACAGAGCAGATCAAGTCAAGCTGCAAAGACACGTAGCCTACCTTCACATGGACCATAATGCAAAAACAGGCAGAAATTCACAAAGGATCCTGCTGCTGCTTCTCTGAGCTCCCATCTGTGCGCCGCTTCTTCCCTCCTCTCCAAACCCTCATCTATCCCGCGTCGGGACGCAGCGAGCGACAGAGGCGGAAAGAAAGAGACTGAGAGACCACAAGTGTCACTTGAGCTGACTGCAGCTCGGTCCCCTCACCCCCTCTTCGGCCCCCCACCTCCCAGTCTCTGTGTCTCTTTCTCTCTCCTTGCTCAGGGGCCATGAAGCACACAGACACACACACACACACACACACACACACACACACACACACACACACACACACACACACACACACACACACACACACATGCATACAAAAAAAAAGTGCACATACACACCTACTGTTCAGTCAGCCACAAAGATCCCCATGGCAACGCAGCATTTAGAAGCCCCATGGCATTATTTATGCAACGTTGCATCACAATAGGCCCTCCCACCGGCCAGACCCTGCCAAAAAAATAAAAAAAATAGCCCCGCCACTCCACAATCGCTCCCCTGCCACACACACTCACTCCACTCTCAGACCAAACCATCTGCACACACACCACCAACCACCCTTCTTCCTTCCTCCACCTTCTCTGCATCCAACATCACTGGAAAACAAGGAGAGATTTTTTTTATTTTTTTGGTGAGGAGAGGAGGGGGCAGCCAAGAGGGGCTGAATATGCATGGGAGGCCCACACTCAGTCTCATGCCGACACAGAAAC